CAGATTTTGTTTACAGAAATGACTTTGTAGATGCCCCTCTCAGGGGCATTTAACAATTGGTCTAACCATGCTCCTAAACCCCCTATGATCAAGGTTGATAGGGTCCTCATCCACCAAATTGGGAAGAGTTGTTCCCTACGACACATTCTCAGATGCTCCTAACGACTACTTTATATTGCACTTGACATGCTAGCATTTTTCACAAAGTCTTTCCAAAGAGGCACTATCCACAGTGGCTAAAGGCGCCAAGTTCATTGCCCTCATGCATATGCCAGAGGGTGCAACAGAGTTAAAAAGAGATTTGAGGCCGATGTTAAACAGTGACTATAAAATCTTCTCCAAAGTGTTACATACAAGACTAAGAGAGGTATTGCAGTCAATGATATCAGCCAATCAAAGGGCTTTTGTCAAAGATAGTCAAATCTTAGATTGAGCACTGACTACCCATGAATAACATTCAAGCAAGACACTAATCCAAACTCCAGTCTTAGTCATGAAACTATACTAGAGAGAAAACATATAACCATGCAGATTGGGAGTTGCTTGACCAAGTTCTATGTTGTATGGGCTTTGGACAGCAACAGAGGGCCTGGATTCATGGATGTATCTCTTCAGCCACCTTCTCAGTTTTGATTAATGGGATCCCAAGGGTTCTTTCTAGCTTCAACGGGTGTCCGGCAGGGTGACCCCTTACCCCCTTTCATGTTTACTATCACTGCAGAGGCGTTTAGTGAGTCTCTTTCAAATATGTACAGTCACAGTTTTGCACAAAGCATTCAATCATCGAGGGAAGCTCATCTATCTCTCATTTACAATATGCTGGTGATATGTTGGTTGGTCATTTGCGACGCCTCCCATCTCGAAGTGGACAACATGTGGTTGTTCTTATGCTACTTTGAAGTAGCTACAGGGTTTCAGGTTAACATGGCAAAGGCCAAACTGATAGGAAGTTGGTGTAGACCAGAACTCTATGTCGATATTAGTGGAAAAACCAGGCTGCAGAGTGGACTCTCTGCTAGGTAGGAGGAGAGGGGGACTGAAGGTTGGGGGCAACTGGGGAAGAGGCATGGGTAAGAGTACCAGACACTACATGGAGAGCCTTCTGTGGTTGGAGGAGTTGAGCATAGGTTTTGTAGAGTAGGGGGTAGGAAGAGGAAGAGCTCTTAAACGGAAGGAGTTGGAAGACAAGAGGTGGCGAGAGGGAGGAGGGTGGTAAGGGTGGAGAGGAGAATTGGGCGGACGGGAAGGAAGAGCAGGAGGACAACTGTACGAGACGGCTTCATTCCAGCAACCCGTTTGCAGTTTTTGGGGTATCGGCGTTTTTGTAAAATATTCGCATGTACCTAAATCTTAGGGGGGGGCCAGGGTATACGCAACCTCAAAGCCCACAACAATGGCCTTTTCGGCAAGTGGTGGTGGAGGTATGCGACCCAACCATGCCACCTTTGGAGGGAGGTCATGAAGCACAAACATTGTTATGGCAATGACCATTGGAATCCCGAATGCAGAACCAGTGGGCATATCTCTGGCTTCTAAGGGTCCGTCCTTCGGTGCCAAGACACTTTCCTCCAACACATTCGATTAAGACCATGGGAAGGGAATAGGGTGAAGTTTTGGATTGACACTTGGATCGGCCACAGACCTCTCAGGATCAGTTCCCTAACCTATTTCTCTTAGCCCGTGATGCTCAGTTCTCTTTGGCCGAGAACTTCAATGTTTCAGGGTCCTATATATCTTGGACGCCTAACTTCAGGAGCCCCCTCAATGATCACGAACTCGATGACTTCATGGCATTGGCTGAACGTCTTCATTCTGTATTCCTCCCTTTCTCTGGAGACGATAAGATTATTTGAGCTCTAGCAGCATCAGGATTATTCTCGGTGTCCTCCTTTTTCGAACCCTCACCTTCAATCCCAACCTTGCTTGTCCCACCCTCACTCTAGCCTCCAAAGCTTGGTTTCCCTTCTTACCACCTAGGATACAAGTGTTTTGCTAGATTGCAATCCACAAGAGAGTCCTGGCTATTGATCATCTTCAACGAAGAGGTTTGCAATGTCCAAATAGACGCATCTTGTGCATGGAGGCTGAAGAGTCCAATGCCCATATTTTCCTCCACTGCGAATTCAGTAGAGCCTTATGGATCAATATTCTGCGCCATTTCGAGTGGCCCTGGGTCACTCCTAGATCCATCCCCTATTTGTTTCAAGCTTTTCTCTAAACTCCGTGGCCCAAGGAAGGGAGATTACTTTGGAAAGCCTTTATCTCAGCCACTAGGAACCACAAAATTTTCAGGGGACAGAGATCAACATCGAGAAAGTCAGGAACCTAGTGGCCTTCTTGGCCACAAACCACAAGCTCTTGAAGGACTTCTCCTTTACTGATTTCGTTGGCAGAATTTGCTGCGCCTAACCTATCCTAGGATCTTGCGGGCATCGCTCTAGGGACCACCAAAACAGGGATCCATTAAGCTTAACTTCGATTGTTGCTCCCTCGGCAACCCTGGACAATCCGGAATTGGTGGTCTTCTTCAATCGAGTAATGGATGCACCTTATTATCCTATTCCTGCCCTATCGGTATGGCGGACTCAACTCTTGTCGAGGACATAGCCCTCTTGGAGGGCCATCGAAAGTTTGACCACTCATGGAGTCCCGATCTGGTGGTGGAAGGGGACTCCAAGTTCGTCATCACATGGGCATCTAATCTCTCCTCTTGGCCGTGGTGTCTAGACAACATATTCGACGACATTTCCCACTTATCCCGTGATTTCAGAATCTCATGGTGCCATGCTTTTAGAGAAGCCAACTCTAACGCAGATCGATTGGCTAGGGACGGCACCTATTCTAATGCCTTAGGATTTTGCGGCCATCCTCTTTTTTTGTGCTTCTTTGATCTGTAATTCTCTCACTGTAAAGCATTTTTGGACCCTATAGGACAATGGATAGAGTGCCCTTTCAGGGTCACCTTATTTTTCGTATACTCTATTATTTAGTGATACAATTATGGTGAACTGTCTCAAAAAAATAAAATAAAAAGGTATTTTGTTTTACAAGGAAATCTTTGTTTAAGATTTTGTCTTTGATTTGTGGGAGCAATGAATATTTTGTGTTTTGGAAATATTCTTCATATCTTTGACCAAATATTTTGACTTTGAATTTCTACATCTTATGTGAGAGAAAAGGAAGTTCTAGTCAAAATAGAAGTTATGTTTTTGATTGGGACTTATCCTAGTTTGACTACAAGTGGATGTGGATCAGATTCAGGAGATAAGGTTCCTAAACTCCTGCTGAAATCATGGTGGCTGATTCATGGGATAAATGGCTCAGATATGTTTCTCTTTCAACTCACAAATTACCTGGAATCCTATGACCAAGATGAATTTTAAATGCATACTAAGGCTATGGAGTCCTATATAAGGAGGGGGCCCCACCACATTCTACAAACAAGTTTCTATAGGGCACTTTTATCTTCAGTTGGAAGAATGGGTGATATGGGGTTACTGAAAGCTTTTCTAAAAATGAGGAAGGGGTTCAACAAAACCAGTGAACTAATTATTCCAAATAAAAACTTCTGAAATCTTAATACTAAGAGAGGAATTGATGCAACTAATCTATCACCAACACTGATCTAAGAAGGGTGATGACCTTAAAGTTTCCCTTAACCCATCCCATGCTTGGGTAAAAAGGCAGGGTTGTGTTAGGTAAAAACCAACGTAAGCTTTCGCCACAAGTTACCATGAACCCCAATTAATTGGGAAAAGGCTATGATGATGATGATGATGATGATGATGAATCTATCACCAACATAAGACAAGCAAGGAATAATAAGTTTTTGTCACTTTTCCTTATGATCATTTACAAATCAATTATCGAACATAATACTAACTGCTTCAAAATACCCCAGACTAAACATATTTGCCTCATGAATTCTCTTTGGAGTTGTAACAAATTTCATAGATTTGGAAAGAGTTTTGTTGAGAAACAAAAACAAAAATCAGGAAAAGAGCCCTGGCTTGATTGGTAGTGCTTGACAATTTGCAACGCTACATCCTAGGCTCAATTCCTACCACCAAGGGTTGGGGCCCTCTCCCCAGGAAAAAAAAAAAATCTTTTAACTTTACTAAAAAAAAAAAAATTACGTATTTCAGCACATGACAACTCTCACCCCAGTTCCAATAGTAGGAGAAAATTTTTTGAAACCCTAATTTTGCTCCTTTTTGTAAACATTTCCAATAAGGAAGTAGGCAACAAGTACCAAACAGTCATTTATAAAAGAAGCCAAGATTAAGTTTCTTGAGAAAGGTTAACTTTAAACCAAGATTAATTTTCCAGCACAATTTGAGTGCCTATAACCCAAAAGCCAATGCAAATGCACAAAACCAGTAGATATCATAACAAACAACAAAATTTACAGAAAATTCACGGAAAAGTCCAGAACAAAAAAGAAAAGGTGGGTTATAATTTGCACAAAATTCACATGCAGCACCAGAAGAACAAAAATAGAATATATGTATAATTGAAATTATAGAAATCAGTATAATTCACAGATATCTTCACCAAAACAACTAAAGGAAGGTTATATCTTAGGGAAAATTGCATAAATCTTCAGAAGGATAATAATAAAGAAGTGGGTTATCAGCAGGAAAACATTAAAAAGCAATTCCATTGCTTGTGAAAGAGAAAGAGCGCCATGGGTCTTCCTAAAGAAGACAAAACTACGGAGAAAATGCAAATTGAAGTAAAGGAAGAAGAACAATTCCCAGAAATGAATTCTAATTGAGAAAATTGCCAACAATAAAAGAGAAGTGGGTTATTAGTAGAAAATATTTTCTATTCAATGGTTTATCAGAGATAGAGAGAGAGAGAGAGAGAGAGAGAGAGAGAGGAACGTCATGGGTCTTTCCAAATAAGCCATATCTAAAACAATAGAGAGAAAATGAACTCAAAGCCATCAAAACGAGGGAATTTTGAATAAAAAAAGAGATATATTTGGTTTGAATTACCTGCATTTCCACAGCCAAGCATGAGTATTGGAGAAGACTTGGGGATATATCTGTGAATAAAGGGGCGAAGAGCAGAGTAACGCTGATACCAATCAAAGGGGCCTGCTTCTTGTATATAGCGAGTGTCCCAGTAAAGGGCGTCGCCATAGTTGTAAGTGCTGCAGCTCGAAACATCTCTCATCCCCATCAACGCCTTCTTCCCACCCATCTCTCTCTCTCTAGAACTGAAGACCCACTTCTCTCCACCAAAACTAACTCTCTCTCTCTACAAGAACCCTTTATGTCCCCCACACCCACGTTGACTCCCTGACTCTCCCCCCCCCCCCCACAAGGTCACAACCCCTCACACAAATTGGAGCCCCACTCTCTCTCTCAATAGTACTAAGTAGAGTAAATCTGACGTCCTCCCAAAACAACATTATTTATGCAACTTACTCATTCAAAGTTTTCTCGCACTTTTTCCTAAAAGGAAGCTTTCTATCCAAATAACCCCCACCAAAAAAGTTCATTTTTTTTTTTTTTTACGAAAATACGTTTCTCGTATAAAACAATCAATTGGCGCTAACTATCGGATCGAAGTAACACATTGCCGAAACGTAGTAAGCAACTGCCGGAGCGTACTGTCTAGAACATATATTGTCGGAACACCTTTGAATACTGTCGGACAGGCACGGTCAGAGTGCCTCCAGGACAAGTACCGTCGGAGCGCCTCGTCTCCATAACAAGCACTGCTGGAGTGCGTTTTGCAAATGCCACAGCACTGTCGTCTCCAGAACATGCACTGTCGGAGCGCATGTGTCTCGAGTGCCAGAGCAATATCTCTCGAGTGCTAGAGCGCCCTATGCAACTGCCGGAGCACTGTGGCTCCAAAGCATGTATTACCGGAGTGCCCTTTGAGACTTTCGGAGCGCATTGTCTCCAGAACGTGTACTGCCGGAGCACCTTTTTGCTAATGTCGGAGCGTTGTGTCTTCAATGCGGGAGCGCCCTATGCAACTGCCGAAACGCTATGGCTCCATGCATGTATTGCCGGAGCGTCCTTTGAGAATGCCGGAGTGCATTTCCGTTAAAAAAAAAAAGGGCATTTTGTACGATGAAGGGCATTTCCATAAAAAAGAAACTTTTTTGGTTGGGGGGGGGTTACTTTTGGAAAAAAGTGAGATAATAGTTTTAGATGGGGGTAAGTTGCATAGAGAGTGTATTTTGGGGTTTTTTTTTGTAATTTTCCCAAGAATAAATGTAACAATATATCATTGTAATATGCGTAGGGTAATTATTTCATACAAGGGTTGTATAATAATATAATGCAATAACTTTTTAAAAACTATATTAGGGCCATTTGTTTTTGTTCTAAATTTAAAAATATACGCTTTTCTATCTAGGCCTTAGAATGATTTTTTTTCTTTTCAAAATTTTTAGATAAATTTATTATCATTAGATTAATAATATTAAAAAATAAAAAATGATTTTGAATTTATAATGGCCTAGATCTTGAAATTCATCTAATAGAAAGTCTAAATTCATTAGTGGAGGGAACTCATTTTGACCCTATATAGGGTGCAAATTATTTATTTATTTATTTTTAGATTGATTATTAAGATGAAGAGAGAGTGTGTGCAAATCTTTGGGTCATACAAATACTACAAACATAGTTTTTTAGAAGTATGGTTGCATTATACTATGATACAACCATTGTATGAAAATCACTGCCCATACATGTAGCGAAAGAAAGCATTGGCAACACACAAAAATGACTCAACTTTTCCTTGTGATTTCAATATGGGTGCGGTTTGTATAAGGCTGAGGCTCTAAACAATCAAAGTAAAATCCACTTTCAAATAGTATCGAGAAATATACTTTTATTACTTAAAATCTTTTTGATAGCCTTAAAATATATTTTTTTCTCCAATTATAAAATACAAAACTTCAAAATAGCATAGATCAATGAAAACTTCAAAATCTTGAAAATTAACAGTAAAAAAATGCATTATAAGATCACTATTTCTAAAATTTGATTTTTTTTTTTTTTCATGTCTATGCATTTTGAGGTCAAAATGATCAACTTGAGGAAATTTGGGTATCAAAATAATATTTTCTAGTGAAATATTTGACCCTAATTTGATTGTTTGGTGCCTCGCACTTGTATAAAGGTTTTCTTTTTAATATTTAGATGCTTGAAATAGTTTTCACTTAACACGGGTTTTTTAAAACGGTGTCGATGCAAAATTGTTCACAAAGCGGCCCAATTTTGGTGGTCAAAATGGGGATTTTAAAAAAAATTAAAAACCCAAAAATAAGAAATTATTTTGTAATTTATTTTTTATATTTTCTGACATTTTGGAATAAGATTGAAAATATTTTGGCTGACTATGCATTTTTACATTTTCCCCTCTTTTTTAGATGGGCCCCGTTTCTATGAGCAAGCCCGCGTATGTAGAAATGCGGTCTTCTTAATAAATCTATTTTTGAGATGGATTTTAAGACTTAATTTTGAAGGACATGTAATGTAATCTGTATAGAGATCGTGAATATGAAAAAATAAATATATTTTTAAAACTAAAAATAATAATTCTAGTAAGAAAATATTTGAACAGTTAGTTTCCGTTGGTTTTAGATGGAACACCTACTTGCATCCATCTTGAAGATAGATGCTTTACAATTTCTAGACTGTATATGTAGAAATGCGGTCCAGCCCGCATGAATCAATTTTTCCTTTTAGATTACTTCTAAAATATCTCTAGTCACAAATTGATTTTTCGAGATCTATTTTTCTACTACTTTTTTAACACCATATGAAAATAGTGCTTTAAATACAATTGTCATATTTTTAGGGATTTTTCGAATTTGTAATTTTTAACAATGTTTTGGCCTAGCCAGGACCTGCTTAACTAGCTAGGTTCCGTTTTGGGTCGTGTTTTCCTACACTGGGTTGCAACCCCTATCAAAATACGTAAAGCCTCACCTTAAAAACTCGTAGAAAAATACAATTCCGGCATTGAAAGACCATCAAATCTATCATCTCGACCGTGATATTATGATTATGGAAAACAAACTAGGATTTCATGCCTTAAATATAATAATATTATAACAGCTTATCTAGACGATCTATTTTATCCTAAAAATAGTGTTTACAAATTTACAAGATTTGTACCATTTTTTTAACTTCAAATTTCATAGTCATAGTGAAGCTTTATTTTTTTTTATTTTTTTGTAAGGCCTAGACCTTATCTGAACTACATATTTTTTGTAATTAAAGCTCTATATTAGCTATCATGTGGTCTTTTAATTTTATTTTTATTTTTTAATGTGATCATGCGGTTTTATCTTAGCTATCATGTGGTTTATTAATTTTATTTTTGAATGTTATCTTGAGATCTTTTTAAACGCATCGATGTGGACCGGGATTTGTTGAGGCAGGAATCATTTAGTACTGAATTGGTTTCAACAAGATACAATAGTAGCCCCGCCCACTAGTCCACCCTAAACCTCCCCTTTCATATATGTTTTCATTTCTTCAAGCTTTTTTTGAAAACGATTTTTTTTTTTTTTTTGAGATCCCAATATTCCCCTATAAACTCCTATTTAATTTTTTGTTTTTGTTTTTAATATTTTTTTAGATCGCCAACTCAAACAGATCTGAATCAGCGATTTGATACAGATGTAGATGGATAATTCCACCTGTGATCTCAATTTTGAAACCATTTTCCTGGATTGTGACTTGGGAGAAAAAATTCCAAACCGCCACAATAAGCTTTGATAAATGCCTAAAAAACCACTTGAAGTAAGAAACTTAACCTAAATAATACATAGTATTCATGTTCAGTTTTCGAAAGGCGTTCTTCAATGATTCAATTCAGAATAATTAAATTGATCATTAAAATCTCTAATGAAAGCGGGGGATGTTATGTATCGCCCATGGCGTGAGATACAACAACAAATCCTCTTGGGCACAATTACGTTTGGCTGAAATTCCTTTTCTCTTATAATATCCCTCAATGTTTTATTATAGGACTATTCATTTTTGGTAAAAGGTTACAACTTTGGAAGTCAAATTTAACCTATTAAAACATAACAAATTTTCAACTTTTTTAGTCATTGGAAGTCAAATTTAACATATTAAAACATATCAAAGAAAATTTGTTTCTCTCATTGTGCTCAAAGAAAATTTGTTTCTCTCATTGTGCTCAAGTAGTGACACATTAGCACATGTCCAATTTCACACCCAATAGTTGATAGTGAATGTGACATTCTTGTATCAAAAGTAAATGGTCTCATCATATACATTTCATATTTTGAAAACAGGTTCGTTAGTGTTGAACTGGCTTCGTAAACAGACAATAATTAGCAGGTAAAAAAAATAATGGCAGGCAATAGGCCTGGCCTGGCACCATTTTTCCGGCCATTTAAAACTAGGGCTTGGCCATGAAATTTGGCCCTTGGGCCGGGCCAGGCTAGGTTATGCTCAAGACCGGACCAGGGCCAGGGTTGGCTTGACCTGTTGCAAATACTAAAAAAGTTCAAAAAAAAGTATAAATTTTTTTTTAAAAAATGATCTTATGTAGGAACAGTAGAAAGATTCGTACACTACAGTAGTTATTATGAATTATCTAAAATTCAAGACCTTTTTCAGAAAAATAAAAAACAATAAAAACTATGCAATCTACCAAAATTCTTTAAATCATGCAAAATACCAATTGTAAAATGAGCATAACTAACTCTTTCCACAGAAAAAACCCGTGTCCTAATTTAGCTGAAAAAATGCTTCGTAATACAAAAATCTTTTAGAAAATCCAAGGGGATTTTCAGAAAAATAAAATACAATAAAAGGGTTAAAAAGTTTCAAGATTGTTGTTTTAGATTATTCAGTCTCTGCAGGTTGAAGAAAACACTTTCTGCAACAAAAAAGCCTAAGGAAGTCGTGCAAAAAATAAACAAAATATATATTTATTTGAGGATTTATTTCATAAAAAACACACAACGATAAAATAACATGAAATCAACCATTATTCTAAACCATAAAATCCCGGTAGAAGAGGAAACACCCTCTAGATAGGTCCCCCAAAGAAATCTTCCATCAAAACTAGTAAAATCCACACATTTGCCCTCAAATTTTCAAAAATCGCCAACACTTTGGACATTGGATCTCTTCATACGTGTTTTTTATCAGAGAAATTGTATAATAAACTTCCATTGAAAAAGTCCAGAAAATAAAAAATAAAAAAAAGGCAAATCAAGGTTTTGGCCTAGTCCGGGCACCAGGCTATGCACAGGTTGGGTCATGGCCATGGCCCAGCCCGTTGGCCCCTAGTTCTCTAAATTCTTTTTACTTTTAGGGCAAAGTTTATATAGAGCCAAGGCTCTAAACAATCAAATTAGAGCCCACCTCAAAAATTTTACTAGAAGAGGTTCTTTTGATGCCCAAATATCCTCAAATTGATTATCTCGACATCAAGATGCATAGACATGAGAAAAAAATGAATTTCAAGTTTTGAAAATAATGCAACACATTTCTAAACCGTCAATTTTCAGGATTTTCAAGTTTTCATAGATATGCTCGATCTACACTATTTTTGAAGTTTCCAATTTTATAATTAAAGATGAAAATATAATTTAAGGCTATCACAAAGATTTCTAGTATTAAAATCACATTTCTCAACACACTTTGAATGCTTTACTTTGATTGTTTAGAGCCCCGGTTTATACAAATCGCACCCATAACATCATATATAATAAATGTGTTACCTTTTAAGCAGAAGAAAAAGACAAGAAAATAAGAAGTTTCCAAGTGTAAGTAAACAACCATTATTTTCCTCCCTGTGTAGTTCGATGGGAGGAATGTACCTAGAATGTCAAATTGAGGTATCCCACCATCCGGACCACCTAGAGGTCCTTCTAGGTAAAATCATAGTTATCAACAATGTACTAAACCAATGGTCTGACCGGTCGGTCGGACTGTTGAGTGATGTCTTGCACAGTTTGGTCCAAAATAAATATCGGACTTGGTTGAAAACCACTCAAAACCAATGTTTAAAACTGGTCGGACCAGCTAGTTTTAACTGATTTGACTAGCTAAATAAAATTCAACTTTATTTTTAATATAGTTTATATTTTTAAACTATTGCATCTATTTTCCTTTCCTTGACCAGCCCTCACCAGTGGTTGGTCCAATCCTGTTAACACTAGATAAAATATAAGATATTCACCCTAACTTTTTATTGTTCAAATAATTTTTTTCTCCTCATTCCTCCACCCCTCTCCTCCTTGGCCGTTACCGGCTACGGAAATGTGACCCTTCAGACAGTGGGGTACAAGAATCAACACATTATTTCTCAGAAGTAAATATTTGTGGTCCATACTACAAAATATCAGGATCTTTTATAAGGAAATACGCGGGCCTATAAATAATGGGTTCTTGTTAAATGATGGGCATTAAGAATGAACCCCATTCAGATACTAATTAGGCTTTTTCTACTTTGCTCAGCTGACATCAATATCATTTCTTTGTTTTCAGAGAAAATCGGAATATTAAAGGGAATATTAGCATGACCCATAGGCATATAAATAAAGAAAATGACCAGCTAAAGAAAGAAAAAGGAAACAGGGGACTGAATTGGTAATGGAGGTGTTTTAGCGACCTTTCAACTCTTTGGAAGAGTTCAGTTTATAAAGTGAATTAACAATCAAATTCTTGTAATAATTTCAGTATCTCAATACATAGAAATAACTGTAATGTTTCTTCTGCGATTAGCATTCATTTGAAGTAAATGAACAAGCAACTGAAAACAAACTGCATAGACATGCGTGTGTGAAACACATACACAAAAATCAACTTGCTGTCACAAATCAATATTTTGGTCACATACAAATGCAATAGATAATCATAATACATGAAGTTACAGAAGTTAGACATAACAGTCGGGGAGCTTGGATATTTTTTAAGTCACATGCAATGCAAGTACATAATCAAAATACATGAATATTAAAAATGAATGAACAGCAGTTAAAAACTTGAAATTTTTTGCAGTTTGTGCTAAGAGAACAGTCCATGTGTTTTTTGGGGTTGACTGAGCCAGGATTAGAATCCAAGACCATTTTATCGAAGCCCTTGTGCCTAAACCAGTAAGTCAAGAAGCTGAACCCCAATAAACCATGCTTATTATTTCTTAACCTTTCATTTCTGACTGACCTCATTGAATGAACAAGGTAAGAAATGCATATTGAACAACACTCAAAATTGACCCTTTTCTTCCCCTACCTCTACCTTCCCATAGGCCCATGATTCAAAGCCTTAGACAATAAATATGCATGGGCAATAAATGGTGCAGTTAGAGGGGCTATGATCAGCAAATCGATATGCAGTATAGTGGAGGTTTTTGTGGTTAAGAATAATTTAGTTTTCATTGGTATTCATGATTGCAATTCAGCAAGCGCCAATGTATGCCACCACCCGCAAGCAATGTTCTTTAAGAAGCACCCCTCTAAAGGAACTTCAAAGGGTAGGTTCCTATCAATGGCATCACCTAAACCGAGCTGATCAAAAAAGAAAATAATTTGAATTTCAGAACTTAGAAATAAGGGTTCGTTATGATACCTTTAAAAGATAGGAAGTTTGGTACTTGCCTGCCCATACTTGTTCCAACCCCAGCAGAAAGCCTTTCCGTCTTCTTCAGGAGCCAATATGAAATGTTTGAACTCATATCAGTTAATGCTTCATATCTGCAATGGAGTCTTACAAACAGCAGAAATCTTGCGATAACTTATAGTGGAAAGCTAATAATACATTACTATAGGTACACACTGGTTGGGCATTTCAGTTGATTCTCTCAAAGCCATTCACATAATGGTCTCAAATGGAGAGTATGTAAGTCCAACGTTCTATATGTTATGAAATGCTCAGTAAAAATGCAAAACCGAACCCAACCAAACTCAAAGTGCGAACAGTCTAAGACTTTAATATTGAAATTTCAAAGGAAATGCAGGAACCCATCACCATTCTAAATTACAACTTTCAGTTAAACCAAATATACATAGGAGCACGGAAGCCAAAGTAACTTCAATTGGCATCATTCTATGGCAAGTTTCTGCCCAAGTATCAACAAAACAGACTTGACAACAATTATTACTATCTACTACTGCCAAGCATCAGCTCAAAACCATGGTACTCTGACTTCAAAGCTATACAAACAAGTATGTTGTCCAGCTCTCAAAAAGTCACAAGACGAACAAGTATGTTAAACATTTTCTCATATAACTTATTGATCTGCTTTAACTTAGTGATATGCTTTAACACTTCTCACATAATTCAGTTGCTCCCATTCTCTTTTAACTGGGATATAAGTAATTTCAGCATAGTCTGCATTTTACTAGAGGAAGTTGAAATTAAAGCAGAGAAAAAAATAGTTTGTTTGGATCAAGAGAGAGAAAGGAAAGGAAATAAAGATGAGGAAGAAGAAGAAGAAGGGGGGGAGAGAGAGAGAGAGAGAGAGAGAGAGAGAGAGAGAGAGTAGTGTGTAGTAGTGTACTGTGTCTACCTACCTACCTACTAACTAACTAATAACTACCTTACCTATATAATTAATAATAACGTTAA